GGCTACGCCCTTGTGACATAATTCCTCGCATCTTAACTCCAAACATTTTTTTTATTTAGAAATAAAATCACTGTTTGGGATATATTAGTTCTTAGTTTACAGCTACGCTAACTTATGGCATTTTTCTTTTCATAGCTATTTTTTTGTTCTTAATAAAGAATTTTATTTGTGTCCATGGCCTAAGCATCAGGAGGGGTTCCTTCTTTTGCGCCTCTGTTATCTGATACTTGCCTGGTAATTTCTCAACGTAAAGGAAAGTTCCAAGCTGTCTGCACACAGCAGCACATTCTTCCTCACTCCATGGTTTTTTGGATGGGGTATTGTTTGTCTTACGATTTTGAACATAAAGATTTCGAGCAGGGACCTCTATCTTCTTTGAAACTTCAATTTGGTTACTCTCACTCGCATTGTCTGGCTCCTCCTGGTCTTACAGTGTAGGATCACTTTCCTTTTCAAGTGGCTCTAGAATAACAATTTATATTATTATTAACAATAAGAATTATATTGAAGACTGGCAATGTACTCGAGCAATACATTTTTATCTGAAATTCCGGAAATTATATTTGATTTAAAAAAAAAAAAAAAAAAAACCAAAAATACATAAGATTTAAAATTTTCTTCATTTAAATAATAACTCCTGTCATTTGTTCCCTAAAGAGCAATTCAATGATCAATTGTCGGTAGTAAAGGGTTTCTGTTAATTCTAATTATCGCCTGTCTGTTGACTTGTGGTCATTTTGGTGAATAAACAGTGAAAATACCCTGACTTCATAATATGTGTTATACAATGTCTACTTCATTTTAAAACTAATAGATTAACGCAGAAATAAAAAAATATTTTAGATTTTCACAGATTATCAGGGGGTACAAACAAACTTTGACCGTTACAAATAGGTGATAATTTAGTGCTTTTACTATTGTTAATGTTGTACACAGTGAAGCGATAATGAAATTACCAGGTTTAAGTATACAACCTTGTAATTTTTACAGGAAAATAATTTCATATGTTTACTTGAACAATCTTTTTCTTTTAAATTCCCAAAAGCATATTTTTTTAAAGACAAAACCAACACAAAAAATTGTTTTTTTCCTTTTTCACTTTTTTTTCTTTTCTAAAAATTTGGGTTTAAAACTTGCAAAAAAAATTTTACGGGGGTAAAAATTAAAAAAAATTTTTCCCCTCAACACAGAAAACCCATGAAACTAGATGAATCTTTTTGGTCATTGTACAAAAAAAAGCTTCATTAAGATATAAAAAAAAAAATCATATTTCTATTGCTAACTGAGTAGTCTTTCAGTAATATTTTACCTTACCATTCCACCTTTAGATTAATTATTACAAAGACTTTAAGTAATTTCAAATAATTTAAGGCATGACTTACAGTAATGACTGAGACCAGACTAAGTGTGTTACCTTAACCCTTTAAAGAATCTGTTGATGCATTTCTTAATTATAACATTGACAAAATTAAATTGGCAAATATCCAAAAGATACCAATGTGAGGACAAAAGTGTATTTTAGTCCTCACATTTAAAAAGGTGAAAAATTTTATTATCAAGGTCCTCAAAATGGTATCTTCATCAAAACAAAATGTGTGTCAACAAAATTAAATTTGCACATACCATCAAGATTAAACTGGATTTCATCCAAAGTTTTTCCCTTGTACTTGTTCAGATGTCCCCTTTCAAGTTCAAGAAGCAACTTACTCACTTTGGCAACCTATGAATTGAAACAAGCATTTCATTCAAACTATGCTATAAAATTGGTTGCCATAGACACCATTAGGATAAAATATATATGCAAGATGTATGCAAGCTGACTCTTATTCTCAATGCTTAATATTAAAATAGAGCCTGAAAAATGCAGAATACCAAATTATTTAGTCCTTGTCTGTATGATAATCATACCTAAATATATATATTTCTAGTCAATGACAGTATGTGTACATATAATAGACCTTAATTAACTTAAATCTAATGTGTATATGTTACAGCTCATCATAAAGTCTATATTTTAAACAAAGTGATTAACCTCAGACCACGGAATGCAATGTAGTCCTCACATTGATAGTTCATATGGAAAATCAGACAATTACACATGATAGAGATTTTACCTCTCCTCTCAGAGATGGTAACGATCATGCTTCTTCAGGAAGCAGATTTGAGAGTGATTCAAATAAGCTTTAAGCTTTCTTCACCTTAATTGCATTGTGTGAAAAATACCAATGGTTACCGTAAAATATGTAAAAGTCATGACTGCTAATAGATATATATAAAAGGATAGAAAATGTATGCAAAAAAACAATTACTAACAAATTGTCTCTTTTTATCTTTGGAAAAAAAACATTTTTATACACCAATATGCTACTTCTGAGATTTCTATCTCGAAACATTCAAATCATGTATGTGAGTTGTAGTTGGTTGACACTTGTAGAAATGGTATGAAACATTTTTATTACAATTAAAAATCAAATTTGAATGACATTAAAAATATGTTCATCAAAACATAAACTACCTCTAATAAGAGATATTTGATATTTGTAAGGAATTAAAGGAATAGTGAATAAAATTTATAAAAATTCGTAACAATTGATCTGAATTATTATATAACAAACTTCAAGTGCACATTGCAGGAGTGGATATAGATGAAGTTATGTTAACTGAAATACTTGTATCTTATTTTAAGAAGCAAATGGTTCATAAGTGGCAAACTAAAGACGACAATAATAGAAAAATACAGATATACAATTTATGTTACATGTGTAACATCACAATGCCAAATCACTATCCAGTACTTTATTAGGTACCATTTACCATCCAGGTATTTTGTTAGTATTTTGGTTGGTTGCATGACCTTTTGCATGTGGTATAGGAAGAAACATACTGCTTGACACACTACTGGCATGCGAGCAGTTCCCGTACAAAAATCGTAGTTACTTAAACATTATTTTTTATTACGCTCACTCACCAAAATTTGAATGTTACACATCAATATTCGGCTCGTTACACAAATCATGGAAATTCCATAATGTTCTAAACATAGAATAACCCTTAGTTATGAGGCTTCATATGGGGTACAGAAATTATCCATTATTTTGTATGAAGAGAAGTAGTTCCCGTACATAAAATTTAACCCATTATAATTATACAATTTTATTATATCGGACCTATTTTTCATTTATAATTGTTGAACAGACCATTCTCTAAGAGATAAATAGATGTTATTCAGGAAATAGAAAGTAGACTAAACGCGTGTATCTATTACCCGGTACCGTTACCCCCAACGCATTCACATGCGATGGCATGCTTGTATGCATGATATTTTACGCATCAAAGCCATAAAATTATTTTATATAGTAATATTGGTCAAAATTCTGATAATTAAACAAGTTTTCATCACATTGCCTTCTTATCTGTAAACAGGTGGTATTAGTGGAAAACCCTTTAACATGCCTCACGTGTAAGTATGTTTGCGCATGCGCGCAAGGACGGAATCCCCCAGATAAAACAAGGTCACGTTTTGACAACACACAGGTGAAAGTGATTTAAAATGAGACTTTTTATATGTACTGCTGAACTGACACTTTAGATTTTGTCTCGGGTTTATGTAAATTCTGTTGATTTGGGAAATTTTAAAATTTTTTAAGAATCAAAGGGAAAAATCAAACGGGTTTAAAAAAAAAATTTCGGGTACTTTTCTTCTGTAAAGGGAAATGCCCGCATGCCAGTAAAAGACACAGGGTAATAAGACTACTTCACCCTGAGCACCCTTTGTAAATTGAGTTTAAAATGCAAAAAAAATTCCCGGGCCAAAGGATCAATTTTAAAAACTAATTTTTTGCCTTTTATGTTTCATTTTTTTTACAATTTGTTTCAGTGGCCCTGTAATTAACCTTTTATCTTCTTTTTTATTTTTTAAAATTTAATAAAGAAACTATAACCCAAAACCCGAATATGTTTAAAATGGGAAACGAAAAGAATTCCCCTTTTACTTTATATAAAGACCAGGAAAAGAAGCCCCCTAATCCAGTCATTTTTCCCTTTAAAATTAAGGGATTTTTGGCACTGTTCCCTAATGTTTTTGAAGCCTGTGGAGGTTAGAGTCTGAGGCTGCTTTGCACCACATATTGAAGCAAATTTCCTTAAAACATCGGTAGCTCTGATGGGGGTTTCGGAAGTACCAGGCCTGGCAAACATAAAGACATTACTAGGGTCGATGTTTCCAGAAGACCTATATTTTATAAGAGCATCAAACTGTTTTACAATGTGGTCTTGAAGAAGAATTGCTACTCGCCTCCCTCTCTTACCCCTGACTTCCACTCTATTTATAACCTCGGCCAGCTTTCTCTCTAAAGGAGATAGAGATTCAAAAACTTCTTGATTTGTGGTTTTGCCATGGTCAATACCATCTAAGTATTGTTGCACCTGTAACCTTTCTGCCTCCCCAGCTCTTCGCTTGTTAAAAAGCACTGTCTGTGCTAATGTGATTTCACTTAGATCCCTCCATTGAACATGTGTAAGTTCAGACATACCCATGATAGTATTTGCTTGTTCTTTGAGATAAACTGATAATTTTTTTCAAGTCGTTTACTAGCGGGAATTTTTGATGGGTTGTTGTTTCTTTGCAATTTCCCCTGGTTTCAAAAGGCTGTTGCCCTACTCAATTTTTAATTTCCTTGGGAAAACTTTATTTAAAACGTTTTTTCTTTTACTTCAAAAACCCAATTCCCCCGTAGGGCCCTGGGACTCAGTTAACTCTCTTTGGCCCAAATTTAAAGTAATAATTCCCATTTTTTTTGTAAAGGGCGGAAATTTCCCAAAAAACATGTTTTTTCATAAACCCCAAAAGGGTTTTGGGGCAGCTTTAACACATACGGAAAATTTTTTTTGCATCAATGCAAACTCTTAAAGTTTTTAATAGAGAATCAACAACCCCTTTCTTCTATCAAAAAAGGAAAACCCAAATCTTTATCTTTGCCTTTCTATTAAATTTATGTTAATTACCGGGCATGTTTAATGAACTGCCTTTGTCCAAAAGTCACAATGTCATTATCTGTACGGGCAACAATGGAAACTGTATCATTTGTCATCTTATCTAATATCTTTTCTCTAAATCCTTGATTAGCAATAGCAGAAACAGATGAAGCACTGTCTACTTGGTGATTTCTTCCCTTCTTTTCAGGGTGGGCTGATTTTACATGGCGCCAAAGACTGGACCGCATGTATGTTCCTTTGCATTCCTTGCACTGTACAAACTGAGTTCCTTTAGTAACAATTCGAGGACGTTTACAAGGGATTATTTCCCCAACTCCAGCTTCATAAACTTTCAAGTTGTTTTCAAAGTCTCCTTGATTAGTGATCTCTTTCCATGCCCTCTTTCTGTTTTTTGAACCTTTATCATATGCTAAAGCTCTCTGTACAGCAAGTTCATTTTTATGCATCGACTCAAAGTGTCTAGGGAGCTTTCCTGGATAAGTTTTCTTACAGTATACACACATATGCCTTTTGTCCCATTTTCTTGACCCGTCTTTGTATTTTGTACTAACTGAAACATATATGTCTTTATTTCTATCGCTACTTTTTTCTTTTTCAGTTTCAGGTTTTCTATTATCATCCTCTTTCTCACAAGTTCGCTGGACTTCAATAACATCAGATATATCACTTCCTTCACTCTCTGACTCGCTAGAAGTGCCTGGAATATAGTCTTTATCTGCCATGTCATCTTGGTCATCATTGTCACTGGTCTCATATCTGCAAGTAAATCAATTATGCAATTTAATTAATTATTTGATAGCTTGCTCAAGTTTGACATCAATTTTAATATCAAGTTGGTCATAACTCAACAGTCAGTCCATCATATGGGCCTTCCTGGATAACTTATTAGTAATTACCAATTACTCCACCACTTTTGTTTGTTTAACTGTGCACCAACACAGTTTAGGTCACATGACACCTAAGCAGGAAAGATGAATATGGCTAATATCTTGGGTTTTAAAATCTTCAAAGAAACATCCAGGACCAAAACCACCTCACATGCCAGAGGCAAAAGACACAAATCATGCACTCCATACATTCCCATTTAGAAGCCGCTTACAAAAATTTATTTTAAAAATTGCAATTATCCAACCTTAATTTATTTTTTAAATTCTTTTGGCAAAATGGCCACAAATGCATGGCTACAACTTTTTGCAATTAGAAACCTTTCAACGAAACTTTTTAAAAATTTTTTAAAGTCAACAAATAAGGGGGTTAAACAAATCTTTAAAAAAGAAAATTAAGAACAAAATTAAGTTTTTTTTTTTTTAAATTTACTGTAACGGTTGTCAATTCACATGTGTTGTTTTGTCCAAGAATAAATCCTTTCCTTAAATAAATGTCAAAAAATGAAATCAAAAGTCAATCATTTGATGGTCAAGGTGACATCTACACTATTGCACATGTCTGTTTGGTCACAAGTGTTGTTTTGTTCACATATGAACCAAATCTGTACAGAAATAACAAAATTATGACAACTTGACCAAAATTTAATACTTTGACCTTGACAGTCAAGGTCATTGAAAGTTCAAGGCTAATGTCAAGAGACTATCGCAACTTTCCGTCAGTCTCGGATATGGAGCTCAAACACAGAACAGATACAGTTTTTCATTCTAACCTACACTAAGAAACTTAACATGTTAACAAATAGTTATTAAATGCTGGGAGTTGTTGACAAGTTTTTTTCCAATATATTCAGTAAAAATCCAGCTAAAATAAGTGAATTTATAGACACAAAAGCAAACAATACATAACTTATACGTGTATATTTATTATTATGGTTGTAGAAACCGAAAGTACAAAATGCAAACCTGTTGACATTTAGTCGGATTTGTTTAAATTGTACATCATTGGGCATTTTTTAATTAAAAAGTCTTGTCAGACATATTTTCAATCATAATTGTACCGAAATATACTTTGTTTTCCTTTGGATGTCAAATATATACATTCATATTACATTTCACTCGCTGTTTCTGTTTACATCTGAAACATGTGGTAGAACTACTTTCACTCCGTATTGTTTGCGAGGTTATTATAGATAATACCCGAGGACGTTCCAATTGGTCAAGAGTATGTCTTGTCCAAAAGGTTGGTTTGTCATAGTATGTAAACCCTAAGTATGGTACTATCCTGCTTTTAAACAAAATATTGGCAAAATAAGTTCATATATCCAAATTCTTTTTCTTTAGAGATTTCCAAATGTCCCCTGTTCCCATAAGAACCCCCTTTTTTTTTCTTCCAAACCCGGCACTGTTTAAAAAGTTTTTTCTGTAAAGGGAAAAATTTTGGTTATTATTTAATAATTTTAAAACCCAAAAAGGTCAAGGTCATTAAAGAGCCAAGGTCAATTTCAGTTTTAAAGACATAAAGGTCTTATCCTAAAAAATATTCTGTGAATCCATTGAATATCAACAAAGGTATAGCCAGTTACAGCAAAACAAAAATGAAAATTTCAATAATTTCACCTTCAAGGTCAGGGTCATTTAGGAGTAAGGGTCAAGATCTATCTGGTTAACTTTAATTTCTATACTAAAAGATTATTTTATTTTTAAGTGTAAAGACAATCAACTAAAAATAACAAAGTTATAGCCACTACTAGCAAAACTCAGCAAAAAAAAAAAAAAAACAAGGTCATTTATGAATGAAGGTCAAGGTTAGTCTTGTCTACTTAAAAGTCTTATCCAAAGGGTTGTTCTGTCCAAGTATGAAGAAAGGGTTGTTCTGTCCAAGTATGAAGACAATATCCAAAGAACTTAAAAAGATACGATCAACATACAAGTTTACAGACAGAAACGCCAACATGACTGAAAATACTTCTATCTACTTTTTTTTTCAAAAAAAAAGCTAGAAATGGTTTTAAATTTTACTTTCTTGTCATTTAAATGCATTGAAAAATTTAAAGTGTAACCAATTAGAGTCATATGATTATTGTACAAAGTGAGGACTTCATGTGAAATGGATTTACTCATAAGTCATAAAGGAGTTCAAGTCACTTTGCACTAAGTCCTTTTTTCCTAATAAAATTAAGGCTGTGAAAAGAAACAAATATTAATCTTGTATGACAATCTTCCTTTATTCTAACACCATGTATATTTAAATTAATTTAATGATGTTTTTACACCAAGAGGGCCAGGTGGCTCTGAGTTGCGCACCTGAAGCTGTTTGAAAAAGTTTTTGATGCTACATTTTCGTCATTTTGAACTTACACTGAAGCTTGACATTGAATAAATTGTTGGGGTCATAGACCTATATTGAATATTCTAACACTACCCGCATTTTTCCCTACTGAACATAAAAGAACTGAAAGTGTGTGTTATTATGCAATAAAATCACTGTTGATGTTCTATATTTAGAAATGTGACGTAATCACTAAAAATGCGACAAGAAGAAAATAAGTACAGAAACAAATCAGGTGCATTATTTAGCCCAATACCCTGAAATCGCTCACCTGCATATAGGCCCCTGGGCCAAGGCCAATTTTAAACCAGGGCCTTTTATTTGAACAAACTTGGTAGACCCCCATAAGAAGATACTGCATGATAAATATCTAAGCTCTACCTCTTTGGGGTTTTTATAAGAAGAATTTTTAAGTTTTTTACTGTACATATAGGGAAAAACAATGACCCCCCCCCCCTCGAAGTGGCCAATTTTGACAACAGGGCATTTATTTGAACAAACTTGGTAAACACCCACCAGAATATCATGCCTTATATCTGAGCTCTAGGTCTTTGAGATTTTTAAAAGAAGATTTTTAAAGTTTTTACTATATACAAAAAAATAAAAATCCATGACCCCCCTCCCCGGGGCAGGGCCAATATAGACCCCATGGCATTTATTTGAACAAACTTGGTAGACACTGAAAAGATGATGTTGCATGCCCATTATTTAAGCTCTAGCTCTTTCGGTTTTCTAAAAGAAGATATTTTAAGTTTTAATTATTTCGGTTGCCATGGCAACCAGAGTTCTGCTTGGAATTAAATTCTTTGGACAATTTTTAAAGTTGACTACCAAAGGAACATTCCTGTGCAGTTTGGATCTAATTGGCTAAGCGCAGAGATCTGCTGATCTGCAACATGTTACCCATTCCCCTGTAATTACGCATATTCTTGAGTTTAGGCCTATTCATTCCCTTATAGCTTTTGTCCATGTTATCTACTTTCCGCATTTCTTCTCCTATTCCCTTTCCCACACAGATACTCATTTCTACTACCGTAAATTCAATCCAATAAAACAAACAAATTATACAACTACTTAATTTTTAAAATGATTATTGGTAACTGAAAAAAAGTTTTGCTATTTTAAGAAATGCTGTAAGTTACAGTATAATCTGACAGGTGTACAACTGCATCACCCCTAAGGTCACTCAAGTTCATGCAAGCTTTGGCTGCAGAAGTGTAAAAAAAAAGATGTTTATTTTGTCATCAGAATATTTGACAGGGAAACATTGTGCAGGACTTTTTTCATGTCGGCAAGTGTCTTTGGTGTATGCTGTCTACACAGAGGCATACAAGGGGCACTAAAATTCGTCAATATACAGTGGCAAAGGGACATTTGGTGCAAAGTAGGAACAATTAAATGGATAATGCACAGTTTTAGACATAAGAAGTAAGAACCAGCAATTTTAATATGTGATTAAATTTGCATATCAAATTTTTGAGCAGCCATTTATGAATGAACCACTTGTCATAAAATATGATTTCAGTTTTATTACCAGGGAAATTCAATTATCTACAAACTTTTTAACAGTTATTTAGGTCAATGTTTACTTATTTTTCCAAGGCCCATACTTTGGTAAAAATGGCCCATCATTTTAAGACCAAGTGGGCCCAGGGCCCAGTACTTTCAAATTTTTGGCAGATCTCTGGTTAAGCAGTTTATGAGATGTTGTTTTAAGTAAAAGTTAACGGATGGACGATGGACGGCCGAACAAAAAGCGATCACAAAAGCTCACCATGTCACTTTGTGACAGATGAGCTAAAAAAGGCATATATGTTAAAAAATATCTCACTTTTCCAGTTCGTTTGTCTTGGTCAGTGGAATGGTCTGTCCAGGTATGACAGTAGCATCTTGTTGGACTGCATTTATTGTAGATGTTTTACTGGTTGGTATTGGGATATCAATTTCAATCAAAGAGTCTGAGTCATTTCCTGACATATCCTTCATGTTAATGCTATCTATAATTGCTGTCAATTCAACCTGTGTAAAAGAATAGTGAAAAAAGTAAAGTTTTAGCTTACTTGCAATATATCTGGCTTAAATAAACAGTCTCACATTTTACTGATACTCTTATCTACTAAGCACCTAAACATAGTATGTTAGTCTTAATATGTTACTAGTGCTTGGAGCAAGAAATTCAAAGAGCAAAAGCTCTTTAGAGCTCACAATTATATCTATGATAGTATTAAACAGGTATTTATGAACTTTTCAAGGTATTTATTTCTATACACATTTCACAAAAAAAAAAATTGCAAAAGGTGAGTCATAAAGATGGTATGATTTTATATTACCTCCTCAAAAATGTCATCATCGTCTTTATCTGGTTCTGTGTTATGTAAATGAGTTAGCAAGTTGCATACATTTTCTTCTTTCTTGAAACCTCCTGCATCTTTAAGTTGATCTGTATCTTCAACAATGTCCATTACAATCATATGATGTTTATCTGTTTCAACACTTTGCTTAAAATCTTTGGATTTAGCTCTTGCTATATCATTGTTACAATTTGATACAAAGTTTTCAACTTTATTTTCACATGTAGTGAGAATACCACCGTGATTTTCAGACTGTTCTTGCTCTATATCTGAACTTTGTATTTCATTCCCACCAACAACTGCAAATGACTCTTTTTCATGGCCAACATCATGACTATTTTCTAATTTTGCAAAACTAGGTCCAGTAATTATTACAGTACTTTGTTTCCTCCCATGTTGGCATCCTTGAGGTTGAGGGTCATTGGGTAAGTTAGGGGTGCTAACTGTTGTTTGGTCTCTAGAAGTACCCTGATCAAAATCTAAATCATCATGAGTGACTGTTCCAGCATCATTTAGATCATTAACTTTTGTGCTTGACTCAACTTCTCCAGCATGCTCGACTATTCTTAGTGCTTGATAGTAAAAAAAATGCCTGATACAGTTACCTCCTCCTGTTTACAGGTTGGGGTCATGATGGTGAACAAGTGTGCAAAGTTTCAAAGCCATATGTCAATGGACTTTGAAAATATTTGAACTATTACAAAAACTTTAACGTAAATTCTAAGTCGAAAAAGGGGCATAATTCTGTCAAAATGCTTGATAGAGTTACCTCCTCCTGTTTACAGGTTGGGGTCATGATGTTGAACAAGTGTGCAAAGTTTCAAAGCCATATGTCAATGGACTTTGAAAATATTTGAACTATTACAAAAACTTTAACGTAAATTCTAAGTCGAAAAAGGGGCATAATTCTGTCAAAATGCTTAATAGAGTTACCTCCTGCTGTCTACAGGTTGGGGTCATGATGGTGAACAAGTGTGCAAAGTTTCAAAGCCATATGTCTATGGACTTTGAAAATATTTGAACTATTACAAAAACTTTAACGTAAATTCTAAGTCGAAAAAGGGGCATAATTCTGTCAAAATGCTTGATAGAGTTACCTCCTCCTGTCTACAGGTTGGGGTCATGATGGTGAACAAGTGTGCAAAGTTTAAAAGCCATATGTCAATGGACTTTGAAAATATTTGAACTATTACAAAAACTTTAACGTAAATTCTAAGTCGAAAAAGGGGCATAATTCTGTCAAAATACTTGATAGAGTTACCTCCTCCTGTCTACAGGTTGGGGTCATGATGGTGAACAAGTGTGCAAAGTTTCAAAGCCATATGTCAATTGACTTTGAAAATATTTGAACTATTACAAAAACTTTAACGTAAATTCTAAGTCGAAAAAGGGGCATAATTCTGTCAAAATGCTTGATAGAGTTACCTCCTCCTGTCTACAGGTTGGGGTCATGATGGTGAACAAGTGTGCAAAGTTTCAAAGCCATATGTCAATGGACTTTGAAAATATTTGAACTATTACAAAAAACTTTAACGTAAATTCTAAGTCGAAAAAGGGGCATAATTCTGTCAAAATGCTTGATAGAGTTACCTCCTCCTGTCTACAGGTTGGGGTCATGATGGTGAACAAGTGTGCAAAGTTTCAAAGCCATATGTCAATGGACTTTGAAAATATTTGAACTATTACAAAAACTTTAACATAAGTGGTTACGCCGACGCCGACGCTCGGGTGACTGCAATAGCTCTACTTATTCTTATCGAATAGTCGAGCTAATAAAAATATAATAAAAATCGACTCATATTTCATCAGCTACATACAGGAACTTTATTTCTGCTATATCTTGCTCTAATTTGCACATTACATTGTTTTCTTTAGTATTGTATAATGCACTTCCCTATTTCATTGTCAGCCTTATTTTTACTGATAAACAGTTTATACGGTATTGAATACATATTTTGAAATTGACTGTAGATTTTTCTTTGTTAAAATAATTATGGATATGAGTAAATAAGTGTATGTTATACTTTTATTTGTGATGATATCTTGGGATTTTAAACAAAAATGAGAGCATGACACACATAATTTTGCATGCATTAGATGGTGAACATTGTAATTGATGATTAAATTTAAAAAAGATTATTACCGTAAATCCCCATTTATGTACTCATTTGTATCTAGGCATTTGAATAAGCTGAGAGAATCAAACAGCCAATATGTGTTCAAAGTATTATTATCTCCTGAAAAAGAAGATTGTTTAATATTAAGAGCAATCACGGTCCTAAATAGCTTACTTCTGATTTACTTTAAACAGAAAAATAGGTGCAATCTGAAGACATTTTTGTACAAACACATAAAATTTTGTCATTCAAATATGACAAAATTTTGACATTTATTTATTCAAAGAAATCTTCTTAAGAAAGGAAAATACAATTTTTTTTGAAGAGTATTTCAGATAGATGACTAAGGCTTTATGTGGGGGTCAAGTTCACAAACCGTTTCCCGTTTTTTTAACAAGGGTTCCCAATTTTTAACCCGTTTTTCCTTTTATTTTAATTTTTTTAAAAACAAACCCCAATATGGGGGTTTTTTTGCTTTTAAAACCCTTTTTGGGAAAGGTCATTAAACAAAACCTTTTCTTCCAAAGGAAAAACCTTTCATGAGTTCCTTTTAAATATCAAATTTTGGACCTTTTCCCCAAAGCACAAAAACCAAAATTTTTAGCTTCAAACTGAAAAATGTTTTAAAAAAAAACCAAAATTTGGTTTTTAAAAATCTTTATCTCCAAATTTTTTTTGTAACTTTTTTTCTAAAGTGGATATTTTTTTTGGAAATTTCAAAATTTTTCAACAAAATTAAAAACCTGAAATTTGCTTTATTTTGAAAGGTAAGAAAATTTTTTGTTTTTGTTTTAACACACAAAAGTCCTTTTACCACACACCCTATTTTATTTTTTGAAAAGGGGTTTAATTTATTGGGAAAAAATAATTTTAGGAAACCCCCTTTTCCCCAAAATGAGACTTTCCAAAATTACCCCCAGTTTAATAAAAGAAAGTCCTTTCTGGAATGTTTACCTTTTTAGGAAAAGGCCCCCCAAAAGGGCCAAAAAAATTTTAAAAAATTATGCATTTTAAAACCCAAAAATTCAATACTTTTTAAAAAACTTGGGGTGGTTTAAGGTTCCCAAATTTAAAGCTAAAAGGGTTTACAAAGGGAACTACAATCGAAAGGTTTCCCCTAAAATACCTTTTTTTTTTTTTAAAAAAAAAAGTCAAAAACTTTAAAAAAAAAAAATGGAAAAAACAAATCCAAGTTCCCCCCAGTAAAGTTCCTCACTTTTTTAAAAAATTTTTTTCTTAAATCTTCCCCGTAATAAATTTTTTAAGAACAAAGGTCCTCTGGGGAAAGGTAAAAAATAAAAAAGCAAACAAAAATTTTTAAATTGTCCAAAACTTTTGATCATACAAGGCTTTTCCCAAAAAAATTCTTGTAAAAATGTTAAAAAAGCTGTCCCTTAAAAACATTTTTTTTTCATCACAGAAAATTGGGGATTTGGGAAACATGACATTTTTTGGCACAAACACCCCATCTTTTGTGTTTTTTTTAATTTTTTTGGTGATAAATTTTAAACAAACTTTAAAAAGGGATTGCAAATTCTTTGAGCAAGGGAAAAAACTACAACCTAGAAAAGGGAAAAGGGGAAAATCCCAAAAACTTTTCAGGGGATCTTTCATCTAAAATTTTAATTTTTAAGAAGGGGCAGCGTTTTTATACAATATATTTTAACAAAATGAATAAATTTACCTTTCTTGAAGCATTCACCATCTCCTGTGAATGTGAATTTTACACCCTGGAAAAGATCCGCCTTAAACATCCTCGACCTTTGTGCTCCACAATCACTTGGAAATAAATTCTATCACCTTGAATTTCATATTCCTCCTAAAAATAAAAGATGCATTTATATTTCAGGCAACATTATTGCAATTTTCTTGCTAAAAATGACTTTTCATATGTGACTTGCATGCAACAATTTTTTCACTGATGCTATTTGTGTTTTACCAGACAGACAATCAATTGTTGAGGACTCTCATTAAAACCCTGATATGAAAAAAAAAACATCACCATTTCTTAAACGCATCAACGTTAAACTGTATGGGCCCATATGTTACACAAACACATTTCACATTCTGTTAATGAATTCCATTATAATTATGTAAGCACTTGTTGCTGAAAGGAGTTGCATTTATGCATCAGAATTGCTGCCACTACTTATACCAGGCAATTTATTGTCAGAAGCATCTAAATGAGCTTAAATATTTTGAGTCTATGCAATCTCTTAGCTCTAGCAGGTAGTGCAGCTTTGAAGTTTGAAACCTCAGGTTATCCAAATTCATCTTGAATTCATCTTCATCTTTTTTGGAAAAATATTACCTAAACAGTGAAACCAACCAACCAACCAACCAACCATAAAAACAAATAATCTATTATATTTACAATTCTAAATGCATTAAAAACAAGAGCTGTTGGTAGGACAGCAACACTCGACTATTCTAAGTGCTTGATAGTAAAAAAAAATGCTTGATACAGTTACCTCCTCCTGTTTACAGGTTGGGGTAATGATGGTGAAAACAAGTGTGCAAAGTTTTCAAAGCCATATGTCAATGAACTTTGAAAATATTGACAGGTATTACAAAAAACTTTAACATAAATTCTAAGTCGAAAAAGGGGCATAATTCTGTCAAAATGCTTTATAGAGTTACCTCTCTCCTGTCTACAGGTTAGGGTCATGATGGTAAACAAGTGTGCAAAGTTTCAAAGCCATATCTCAATGGACTTTGAAAATATTTGAGGTATTACAAAAACTTTAACATAATTTCTTAAGTCGACAAAAGGGGCAATAATTCTGTCAAAATGCTTGATAGAGTTACTTCCTCCTGTCTACAAGTTGGGTTCTATGATGGTGAATAAGTGTGCAAAGTTTTCAAAGCCATATGTCAATGGACTTTGAAAATATTTGAACTATTACAAAAACTTTAACATAAGTGGTTACGCCGACGCAGACGCTGACGCTCGGGTGACTGCAATAGCTCTACTTATTCTTATGGAATAGTCGAGCTAAAAATCAAAATGCAATTTAACTTTTGAAATCGGATCTGTTTAAATCCGAAACTTTCTGAAATCCGCCTCAAATTGTTCCTTCTATTGTCTTTGTAAATTTTACTTCTAAACTCTGGAACTTCCGATTTCTGAATTCCACACAATATTGTCCGGAATATTTGGTCGTTTCAATAGTTTGCCTCTAATGTCCAGACAAGGCAATAATTGTGACCTTAATAACCCATGACAAAATTCTCTTTTTGTTTTGTACATATATCCAACTGTATTAACCGCACAGTGTAATTAATTTTCATATAAACTATGTAAAAGGTAAAGTGCACACAGATTAACAGTTGTACATGGAAAATATATATCTTAAGGTAAAAAAGAATAAATGCAAATTATAACTTAGATTTGATATATTTAACGTGTTTGCCCATAAATATTTGAAAACATCTAAAATGTATGATAATTTATAAGTTTGTTTTATTTATCAATGTACGATTATTTATTAATTGTTTTTATTAATCTTTGTATCACAAAAACACCAATATTTATCATTAAAAGATGTACTTGTGCAGGTGATTATCTGGAAGCTTCCAGAATCTGCACTTTTTGGTTGGTCAAAGTTGTGTTTGGATATCAGAAGTTACATGTATATGATACTGTATATGATTTATTATTCTTTGCAACATTAATCTTTTATCCAAAAAAATCAAGCTATTTTACCTCTGGTAGGTAGTATCCTGCTTCCAATGACTTTTCTACATACTCATGACTAAGTACCCAGCAGTGGTGAGCTATTCCCATAAAATACTTAATGGTTCTTTCGCAAATGCGGCTGCCACTTTCCGCTGGAAAAAATGAATTACTCTACAAACACTTGAGACAATAAAAAAAATGATATCATCTACAAATACCAGCATGTGTAACATTGTAATATATTATTTAAACTATAAAGAATGAGGCTAATTTCTATCTTAACCATTCAAGTTCTATGTAACATGTTAACCCTAGAATTCCAGATGCTTATATTACCTCAACTAGAATTGTAGTGTTATGCAATGTATAGTCTTTTTGTGAAAATTATGTCTTACTGTAAGCCAGCTTGATGGCTTCTTATGGAATAACAAGAATAAATATGTACAATAATAAAAAGTGTAAAATGGTATCTACCGGTTTCCATGATTACATGAGTTGTGTGACTGTCAATTACAGGACTGTAACATCCACCACATTTTTTCGTTAGATTTCTTAATTGCTCCTGGAACATAAATCCATTTTACAATTCATAAGATTTGTCTAAATGCATTCTGATGAACTACATAAATTTGTAATGCATAATTCACATCAGTTGGGAAAATGCAAGATCAAATCAAAATCAAAAAACTATGAAATCATTTAAATTTACATTATTATTTTATAACAAATGCCCCTTTGTTATATACTAACTCAGACATAGTACTTTATGCTGTTATTAACAACATAGTTGTGTTAAAAAGTTTTAATACAATCTCCAGCCAGTGCATTGAGTGATCTGCACTTCCACTGAGCAATTCTATATTATATATATTTGTTGATAATGTCAGACTATGGACAGGTATGAGACATTGGACAGGTCTGCTGTATCAATGACTTTTGTGATGAAATAAAAATAAATCTTAATTACTTGTAGTTGCAAAATTTTCATTTTTTCTTTTTTGTTTGTTTGAAAGAGATTTAAGTTGTTACTGGATGGGGTTTTATACCGACTTCAACATGTTTTGGCTATATCTAATTTATATCTTGCAAGTCTGTCCACCTAAACTGTAGTGAACAACTACTGATTCAATTTTGAACAACACTAATGTGCAACATGGGCACATCTCTTTTAATGTAATAATTGCGTGTTGCACATACCTTTATTTTTTCTTTTCCTGAGCAAACAAAATGAAACTTCAATCCTTTTTCTTGCTCTGTAATTCATATGTTATATTTTTCAATCAGCATGCATAATTTTAACATTCAAGAGTTCATCATGTCATTTTACCTTTTACTGAATGGCACAAAAAAATGAAGTTCTCTCAACTTACTACAATTGATTTAATACCTCAACTAATCAAGTTATAATCTTGAAAATTTCTTAGATGACAACTTAAGTTGTATGGATGAAAAAAAAGTTTGAAACTTTGTCTACCAATGTTGTCACTGTTTTAAGTTTCAATGACAAGAGCTGTCGGTAGGACAGCAACGCTCAACTATTCTTAGAGCTTGAAAGTAAAAGAGCCTTGATAATGTAAAATTTTCTAAGTTAACAAAAGGGCCAAATTTTCCTTTCGATCCATGTTACTGTTATACGCCTTGAAGAGAGTCCTATTATGCTCTCAAAGAAGAGTATAAAATTTCAATTTGTTTCAAAGTCAGATGTCAATATTATAAGATAATATCTGAGGTGGTATGCAAATTTTGACGTAAATTCTAAGTCAGAAAAGGGGCATAATTCTGTCAAAATGCTTGATACAGTTATCTCCTCCTGTCTACTGGTTGGGGTCATGATGGTGCCTAAGTGTGCAAAGTTTCAAAGCCATATGTCTATGGATTTTGAAAATATTTGAGGAATTACAAAAACTTTAACATAAGTAGTTACACAGACACTGACTGACTACAATAGCTCTACTTATTCTTATCGAATAGTCAAGCTAAAAACCAGGATGCCATACTTAACAATTAACCAAGTTTTAAAGTCATATAATTGCTAAATGAAGAATCTACAAAGAAAGCTTCAATTCATATAATACAAAAAGGCATTTATAGAAATCAGTGAGGGCTTCAAACATTAATCAGACAAACTCGCTGACACTCGCTTCACCAACCAACCAACCAAACACACTTATTTTGAAACTTCATAATTATATACTTTATTAATTAAAGATATACTAAGCTCAAATTTGAGTTTTAAGAATATTAATAATTGCTACACAGTCTCTTTGTATGTATAAAACAAACATGTTTGGACTAAATTTGAGGTAGATATGATATGTTTTGAACTCTACACACTATATGTGGTCACCATATGAATATATAGCATCATTAAAAAAACTGGCAGTTTCTTTTAAGAAAAGACCAACTTTACTTGACCCGTGATAGGGAATGCAGCTTCCAACACATAGTTTGTTCATTTTTGTATTCAAATTAAACATATTCAGTAAGGATTTCATGGATTTCAATACATTTCTACGACAAAAATATTTAAGAAAAAATGAGCATAGTTTATCTTTAAACTCATCTGACATATCTAAACTCAGTAACAGAACTTATAAGCAGACATGCATAAGTACTTGGGGTGTAGTACCAATTATATGTTTTAGCTCAGTACTGCAGAACCTTAACATTTATTTCTAAAGTAATTTAGCAATGCCAGGTATGGTTCTTGAAGACAAGTAAATATCCTTAGGGGACGATACAATATGAAGTTGAACATGAAGTTACACCAAAAAAATTACTACATCAACAGTAAGATAATGGACCCAAATCCTTTGAGTAAAGGTTAGATTTTAATGTTTACTATTTCATAGAAAGTAATAAATTTATAAAGGAGATTCATGCACTCTTTGAGAAAAAAAGTAGGCATTTAATGAACCCTAAAGCACTGCAGTAATTTTACAATTTTTCAAACAGCACAAGTACCAGCAGTGCGGAATCTGTGAGAGTATAATGCAGTACCAGAACTGGACTAACATTTTGTCAAAAATAACTTCAGTACCACAGTCTCAGTAGTGCATGTCTGCTTAATGTTTTAACAAGTAATAAAATATAACATGTAACTCTAAACAGAAGAAATTTGGTACAACCACAGATTTTTCAAACCAAAATGTTTCCCGTCTGGAAAAGGTATTTTTCCCTTGACCTTATCCTTTCTACTTGTCTTAGATGATGCTTTTTGCACATCTTGCTATGATGAAGCAGAAGCTAATTAAGGTATTACCACCCTAATGGGCACTATAAGGAACTAAAAAATTGACATCATAGGTCAGATATATACCTTAAAGTACACATGTATGCAAAATTTAAGCAAAGTTTACCATACGGAAATCAAGTTATGGCCACTTTTCTGAACTTAAGCTAGGATGTTATGAGGGCCCTTTTTTTAGAAATGAGGAACCTTTAAATAATCTGCAATAACATTTTAATGAAAAATGTTTTCCCATTAATTTTTGGTAAGAAACAAAGAGTAACATTCAGCGTACCAATCCCACATAAGCAAAATTATGGTTTCTAACTTAGAAAATTTATGAAATCTGTATAAAAATGTTACCGCTACCCCACTCATTTTACCAATGTGTCTGGACCATTTCCTATTTTAGGGAGACCTAACTTAAAAAATCTTAAAATTTACCCAAATGAGTGCCTGTTTTCAAAGTTTCCCTAAATTTTGAAAGAAGTATATATTGGCTGATCTTGTAAAATATGAAATACTTTAACTGTCTAGTTTTGATTTTATTACACTTTGAAAATATCAGGTACCATATTTATTACTAGATTTAGCATAATTTAGCCAATAAATACCTACATTAATGAAAAAATCAAAATCAAACACTTTTTTTCTTTCCAAATGGGACATGATTTAAGATACATAAATAATCTAAAAAGAAAAAGAATTTTTTTTTACCCTTCTAGGGATTGAACTCACGGCCCTCAAATTCAATGTAGTTAACAGTAGTTCTAGCCTATTGAATGCTCTTCAAAGCGGAGGTAATGCATAAGGATGGTAATACCTTAATTCCACTGATAGAAAAAAAAACTGATAAGAAAAAAACTTAAAAATGCAAATTTTTATTTGCAAAGTTCCTGATTTTTCAATACTTAATTGTATGGCAATTCCCAGTTTTCAATAGACTGTGGGTACCCTGTCTTGATAATGCTACTTTTTAAGGAATTTACCTGGACATTGGTATATAGGATATCTAAGGGCATTTCTCTGAAAAAAATTTCCATGCATATTTTAAATCACAATATTATGACTGCCTGTTTGTCTGTATTTTATATACTCAGCCTTTATCTTCCCCCTCTATAAATTTCCACACTCAAAGCTTTAATTTATAGAAAATTGCACATGGGAGACAAAATGCAAAATAAAGTAAGAATGAACTAACTCAGCAAGCATTTTTTAGTGAGGAGCTGTCCTAGAAGATATTTTATATGCACTGCTTTACATAAGAAAAGTCCTCTGATTGTTGTGAACAAAATAATTTTTAGAACAATGCCATATAAATCTTGCACACATAATATGCAAGGACAGATGCATAGACAAATACTTGTGCAACGTAAATATGTTCACCTTATAGGGTATATTTGGCAGTTACCCAGGGTCCCTGTCAATTCTAATATATGATTTTGTATATTAAGATTTAATAAATACAGTCAAACTTCATTGGCTCAAACTTGGAGTGCTCAAACACCTAGGATCGCTCGAACAGAGTCTGGTCCAAATTTGCTCCCTTCTTTATTCTTTATTATAGTTCTAATTTGTATCGTTCAAACTCATTTAATGGTCCTGTCAGCATAATTGCCATATAGTTACACCTGTTTGCTTGACAAATTACTGCTGGCATGGCAAATGTGAGAAAGATTTGTTTCACCTTTTCTATCGAACAGACAGTTTGCTGACCTAACGGCCTATAATCTCATCATAACACTGTGCATAATTTAGCAAGCTTGATTAAGACAAACTTAATTTTTAAAAAATCCCTGTAAATGTTAAAAACATATCATCTTTTTTAGCTTTTAATACATGAATAAATATAGCAAATTATACACTGAAGAATATACATTCTAGGATGTGATTTGGTTCAAGTTTGTCTAGTATTCATTGCGATACTTCATCAGCCATTAATATATTATTGGAACTTTGCACATGCATACAGTATTTGAGATTGTTGCGATATGTATTACAATATACAGCCAGTTGCCTTAATTTTTTATTTTTCTGTTTTAAGCATGAACATGCACTAAATATAACATTATTTTCTGCTTTAGATAAAATTGTGTTGTTGTTATACAATTTAAGTTATAAACTTATTACTATACTATAAACTTAATAATTTTATTCAAACTGTGGGCGATTCAAATTGCTCCAGCTATCAACGGCTCAAACTTTTTTTGAGAACCTTAAAGTTCGAGCCAACAAAGTTTGACTGTATATATCCTCTAAAATTTCTTGAATTGATGTTGATAAGTATTTCACAGAAAAATCCTATCAACACCAGTATCTCAAGGTAATAATCTGTAGTACTAAAATGTTTTTGAATGTCTTGATAAAATGTCAACTTTGTTAATACACACCTTTCTCCAGGGTACGGAAGAATCCTGATAGTTAAAACAAATTTCTTCTCCTTTTGTTATTTGTCTAATGCTGTATATGGTCAAAGATGGTCGCCCATCATTATCTTCTACTACAACTTTGCAGTTTGGTTTCTTGTGGTCATCATTGATCATTCTCCCAAAGCCTGCTGAATGTGTTGCGTCCATGCTGGAAAAATCATTATTAACTATTTATTTTTAGCATTAACGTAAGTTAAAATAAGCCTGAATGACGATATTTTGTAAAGTCTGCTATGCATATTAATTATAAATTAGTTTTTGACAATATTCCTTCGTATACTATCAAAAACATGATTTTCTTAAACTGTCTCTGTTGAATGTCTCTGGGGATGATGATTTATCCAAAATTTTGTTTTTCATTAGCCTATCATTTTAACCCCCTCCATGCATTCGTGCTAGGTGAATTACAAGTACAAGAATATAATTTAAGCCAAAGATATTCTGACAAACAAAAAAGCCATCATATTGAAGCTTTAAATTCTATAAATTATCAAGAAAAATATTCAGCATTCCCAAATTGGTTTTTTATCCATAATATACAAATATTAAATGTGCAGGACAATCATTTTGCACAATCTGTTGATACATAATGCTAACAGACTGAGGGCCAAATGATGTCAACAAAACCAAGCTGATGCTTCTGTCACAATATGTATTATAAAGAAACAAACAAGGTGTGAAGATCCAGTTTGGCATTTTGAAATAGACCTTGTATGGACAGTTTGGAAAACAATTTATTTTACAATGTACCTTCATGTTTGTGCCAACAAAGTTCTTCTGTATATTTTAAGACACAGTGGCAGGTTTCAAATTTTAATACATGTGGCAAATTTTCAGTTAAATATCCAGGAAACAATTTGTAAACACTTTGTAAAATCAAAGAAACTCATTGTAATGAATATTTAAACTGAAACAATGGCAACAGATCTGATAAAGAATTGTGTTTACTTTAACTATTTCTTGATATTAAGAAACATAATAAGGCCAAATAATAATCAATAGTTTCTTGCCACACTACATACCCTATTTCTGATGTTGACCATTTGTTTGTATTTCAAAGTTAAAAACTAATTCTATAATTCTTAAAAACATTTCTAGTACATTATGTTATAGTAATCATAGTTGCAAATCTCAATTTCAAGGGACAGGAAATGGAAAATATACAACATATAGAAATTTGCAACTTACCACAGTTTCTTCTTTTTGAATTTGAAAAAGAATAGAAATGATCCATCCTTTTCACTGTATTGTGTATGTCTTCTCATACCATCTTCATGTGAGATAATTTCACCAACATACCATGTCAAAAGATTACCTTTAGCAATATCCTCCACTGCAAACACACCAGAACCTAAAAATTAAAATTGAAAAAAACATCTTTCATGCTAAAAAGGGGTGTAAAATTCCACTTGTCCGCAGAAGACATGTCTACAGAACAAGCTGATTTAAACAAATAGACATCATGCATGACTTGTAAGATTTTATACAGGGCCATCCTTAAAAAAATGTTTGTTTGCAGTAACCCGACCCAGAATTTTCAAGGTGGGTAGGTAGGTCGATTTTTTTTTTTTTTTTTTTTTGGTTTTTTTTTTTTTCATTGAACTGTACTCCCAAATAAACATGGAATTTCAAAATGCTGGACAATTTATGCTTTGATAATCTGTAAATTGATAAATGAATTCTAATTAAATAATACCTACATTTTATTTCTTCTATTAACCTTTAAAAGAACAAAAACAAAGCACAAGGCATAATTTTCTGATTAAAAAAAAATAATTTTTTTATCCAAACCATGAAAAAAACTTTTGAGTAAGGGCAAATTTTGTGAGTAGGTCGCGTTACTGCAAACAAACATTTTTTTTAAGGATGGCCCAGGTACTCTTATTTTAAGGCTTCATTTTTTGTACTTTTTATAAATTTAACTACAAATCAGAACTATGCAGAAATTGCATGTCAGTAACACAAAACATGTCATTCAATCTGTGCTGCAGCACATACGGCAAATATAATAAACACACCAACAAATAACAGAAAACAGATGTGTTATAGCAAACATTTATTGTTCAAAAGTAATTAGACAATTATTAGAGAAACCGGTTCCTACAAATATCGTTAGTTGTATTTCAAGCCGTGCGCATGCATTTTCAGTTTGTTTGTAATTTATAGATTATTTCCTCTTCTTATGTTAAATTTTACATCGAAGCAAATAGATAAGAAACAATAATAAAATCCCTTTATAAAAACATGAAATCAAGGACTATCGATCTGTATTATTGTATTTCTCACAATAGAGAGACTCAAATCAATTTTGCGCATAGCAATAGTCTGAGTCTGCACTAAAAGAAAAAATAATGACTTATGAATATATGTATTTATGTTTTTTTTATAGTAAATTGCTCAATTTTTTGCCAATATGACTTTTGTACGCTTAATTGCTATGTTTTACCATTGTTGCATTAACTGTACACCAAGCTATGATACAATTTCATGCAAGCCGCTAGTGTTGGGTATCCTGCTCAAAAATTACTATCGATAATCGAACCACCACAATGGATTGTCTGCCGACAGGATATTCAAGTTTTGCATTTTTTATGGTTCTTTTTTCTTTTAAGGTACCAATCCTAGCATGTATTTTTTATACAGTAGTGACCACATTTTGAGAATAAATAAACTCTTGTCATCGATTAAAGTCACTGACCTCCAGATGGTAAAATGAAAAAAAAATGAAATAAAATTTCAAGTAAACAGTAAATTACTAAATACTGATCTAGTAGGTTTATTGTATACATCCATCATTACTGACACCTTGATTCAAGAAAGAATGTTGACAAAAGCGTAAATATATCGGGTTTTTCTTTTCCATCATCTACTACGTCACTAACAGTACTTAGCAAATATAAATAGGAGAAGATAATTCATGTAACGTGGTCACGTGTTACAACAGTGGTCCGGAAAAATCCCGGTATCCGGTATGCCCTGGATCGTTTATCAATTTTCGTCATTTAGTAGGCCCCTATCACATTTCAAGCTAAAGGTTAACCCTTTCAGTTTCACTGCCATAGGGACGGCTTAAGCCGTCCCTGTTATTTTCGGCGTATTTGCCATATGGACGGCTTTAGCCGTTTCTATAATAATAATAGTAATAATAATAATTTTATAAATTAATAATAATAATATAAAAAAATAATAATAAATGTAAAGAAAATTATACCATCCACAATAATTATTATTATACTAACATATTTGGAAACATACATAATCATTATAACACTAATAACAAATAATAATAATTATATTAATTAATAATATAGTAATTTCTTAGAAAACCCTCTGGCAAATAGCTGAACAATAAAACAATAACCCTCTGGCAGCGAAAGGGTTAAATCGATAAATTTGTCTTCATATATATATAAAAGCGTTGGTCCACCCACTCTATGTAAGTATCCAAGCAACACACTGATTGCCTATGTCTCAGACTCAGGTTGACATTTTATCCAGGGAACATTTTGAGCAGAGGCAGAGAAGTAAAATACAATGGTTAATATGATTTTACTTGTAAATAGATCTAACTTCTAAGTACGTTTAAATTAGCATTTAAGGTAGATCTACATTTTTGTTTGGGTAGCAATAGTTTTACAAAGGTGGGTGTGAAAAAATAAAAAATCTGCAAAATTCTATAAATTTACATGACTTGGAAGCATTATGTGCTACTGGTTTCCTAGCAGTTTCCGGACACTAGCAGTTTTCCGGCCGTTTATCATTTTCGTTCATTTCGGTTTATTTTCAACTATAAAGCATCTAGAAACTTCATCAAATCGTACAGACGTTTGTTTTCTAAAAAAACGCAGTAAATAAATAAGAACAGCGGTCTATTTATTTTGAGAAAATGCCGGTTGTTTGTAGCTACTTTACGGAACTTGTCGCATCACCTATTAACAACACCTGGGGATTTCCAGCTTAAATGCGCATGCGCAATAAATGAGGCCCAATTCGAGGAAAATTAATATTTACGAACAATTTACTTGCAGACGATGTGTGAAAAAATTTATTAAAATATGATTCCAGCTTTAAGTATACATGTAATATTATTACTATCACAGATAAAGATGCACAGAAAGTCGTATGAAGTTTTTTACAGCAAGAATAAATAATATCGCATAAAATATCGATCGATGCTAGTTTTACTTTTACGGTTATATATATTTTACAACCGCAAAGTGTCAATAATCCTTTGTGGCCGAGAGGTATGATGACTGGCGTTGAACATATGCGATCCGTGTTCGATCCCAACTGTCGACCTTCTTTTTTTCTCTCTTTCCTTTTTTATTTTTATACAAGCTGTTTGCACTAAAATCTGTTTTACAAACTTTAAATTTATTTTATTTCCGAAATAAAAAATATTATTATAAAGAATGGTTTAACGTTTTAGGTATCATAATGCCAAAGACATACACTGAAGATCAACTAGCGTCAGCTTTGTCAGCTGTGCGTCAGAGAAAAATGAAAATTACAGCGGCTGCTAGACACAAGTACTCGGGAAACAGACCTGGAGCAGAAAGGCAGCTACTTCAACACGAAGAGGACTCCCTTGTCCAGTATCTCTTATACATGGCGAATCAAGGCTTTCCACTTTCCAGGGCTATGATCAGGTGTTACATACAAGAGATAGTTATACAATCAGGTGTGTTTTTTAATATAAAAATTTGCGGGTTTAATTTTAGAATCTACTCGACCAATTATAATGTGTCTATCATAATCATATTTTGGACGAATTTTAAAGAATTCTTACATCAATATCCATGCAAGTACAATGAAAATATAGTTCTGTTTAAAGTACTGTAATTTGTTGCTATTTTTCAGGCCGTACGTCACTATTTAATCTACAAAAAGGACCCTCTGATGATTGGTTTACAAAGTTTTTCGGGCGGCATCCAGATTTGGCTCAAAGAAAGGCAGAAAACATGGACAATGCCCGAGTATCCATGTCATCTACAAGGATGCTTGACAATTTTTTTCCTCTTCTCAAGTCTGTTCTTGATAAATACAACTTGAAAGACAAACCAGAAAGAGTAAGCATTGTTTATGTTGGCACTTATATAGAATAATCGTTCTATAACGAACTAATTATCTCTTTTACATATATTACTCTTTTTATATATTATGGCATTTAATACATAAAATATATCCATATGAAATATGAAAATACAGGTAACAAAGAATATTCAACAACGGATCGTTATAATAAGCATACCGTGTATGAATAATTTAAGTAACTGTTATGTTTTATTATTAGATCTTCAATTGTGACGAAACTGGATTTACAGGAAAGGAGGCACCTAGGTCGAAAGTAATCGGGCCTCGTGGAGGGCATTTGTTTAGAAGAAAGACATCTTCAGGAGATCACGTGACAGCACATCTTTGTGTCTCAGCAGATGGACACTTTCTACCACCTCTTATAATTTACAAGGTATTTTATTAAGTATGCATTTGCTAGCGATAACGCTTTGAAGAAAGTATAATTCTATTTTCATGTACAAGATAACTGTATAAAATTATCATGTATACTATACTCTATACTGATATACAGTGATACGTTTTCTATCGTGTACTTTCTATTACAGGGTTCATTACCTCACCAGAATTACACAGATAGTGTACCGTCGTCATGGTATTTTGGCCACAGTGAAAACGGCTACATGGACCGTGAACTTTTCACAAAATGGTTTTTCAGCGTGTTTGTTCCAAACTGTGGCAGAACAAGACCCGTCCTACTTATCATGGATAACCACGACTCTCATATTAGCATTCCAGTAGTTGAAAAAGCGATAGCTGAAAATATTGTTCTTCTTGGTCTCCCTGGTCATTCCACGCATATTCTACAGCCTTTAGACGTGAACGTAAGTTTGTAATAATTAGTCAGCTTACCCAATCATGTAATATACAAGTTAATGTAACCACTATTTGCTTTGGGAAATATTATTTGATGTTTTAATAACATATTTTACTTAAATTGCTATTCAGTACGAACAAAAATATGTACATCTCGCTTAGAAAAGAGAGCCGGACGTTCTAAACAATCTAATCATCAAACTAAATTATCGTTTATAATACATTTAGTATTAATAAGTTTATTGTAACTGCACACATGTGGAACTTTTAAATTTCAAACATTTTAGATGAATGTGTTAAATGCTTTCAGATTATATCACCTTTGAAGGACGCTTACACCAAAACACTGTCAAGCCTTGGATATCTAAAAACTGCAGTAAGCGTAGGAAGGGCAAAATTCCCGGTTTTATTAAAGCACGCAATGGACAAAATCGCTCCTGCAACTATAGCTGACGGCTTCACGAAAACAGGGATTTGTCCATTTAACCCCTCTATCATTGATCAAACGCAAATAGTGAAGCCAACATTTATTGAAGGTAAAACTTGCCGAGTACGATGCATTTGTTTGTAAATTTAATTAGTACCGGTAAGGCAGTTTTTCTGCCAAAAAAAACCCCAAACAAACAAAAAAGAAAAAAAAAATAAACAACAAAAAAAAAGAAACTTTCGGATAAAGTAATTCTTTTATAATATTTCGTAATATCTAAACACACTTCAAGAAAGCAGTAAATATTTGATATATAATTTTTTAATACTTTAACAATATTTGCATTGTTTTTAGAAGAAGATGAGGTAAGGACATGTAGCACCTGTGGGTCGTTCCTTACCAATCCATTGGTAAGGAGAGGCATGATATCAGAGTCTCTGGCCAATGTTCTTCTACCTCCGCCAACTAAACCACAGAACACACAAGCAAAAAAGTCTAGAGTGGTAGCAGAGGGAAGGCTCATAAGTGGCCAAGAAATGTTGAATCAATTAAAGGTTTGCCTGCGTTGTTTCTCGATTAACTAACTATAAACGCTATGGTAGTAATTCGACTGCATGTCGTATACATAACTGTCATTGCGATAATTTAAAAACATTTCAAAACATATTATCGTAACCCATTTTTAATTTATGAGTAATTGAGGGTACATATCACGAAATTTTATCTTAATGCGATATATTTTCCAGAAAAGTTGAATTATCTAGATTTTTGTAATCATTTCTATGCTTAAGTATGCAAAATTTTTTTTGTGAATATTCGTATCTTAACAGTAAAGAACGATAGCAAACATGTTTTGTAACAAAATATCCCAATATACAAGTTATACTCATTTTCAATTCCTATTAATGTAGGAAAAAGAGGACCTAGACGCTAAGAAGAAAGAAGAATCAGAGAGGAGAAAAAATGAACAAGAAAGAAAAAGAAAGCAGAAAGAAATCGATGATGAAATGAGAAAAAATAAAAGACTGAAAGAGAAGGAAGAAAGGGAAGCTAAGAAGAAGAAAGAAGAAGAACTGAAGAATGAGAGGAAACAAAAACGTATAGAGGAACGTGACAGGAAGCAGAAAGACAAGGTAAGGGTATTAATGTTTATTTTTTTATCTAGTTTCAAGATTGAAAATAACCAAGTATCGAGTGGATGATTTTTTTTTTGAATCTTTATTTTGGACATTTAGCCATAATATGAATATGTGTGTGCGCGCAGGCGTGTGGTTGCATAAGTAAGTTCCCTTACGTATATGCCTGTTTTATTTTCCTCGTGTTAAATGTGAATTCTTTATTTATAAAAGGAGGAACGGATAAAAAGAAGGTCATACACTGAGGAACAGATTATGATTGCAAGCTTGTATGTATGTGATGCTTGTAAAGGGAAGGGTAGCCCGGCTGACGAGGAAAATGGAATTCTATGGTTTGGGTGTGATGAGGAAACATGTGGTTTATGGTTTCATGAAGACTGCTTGACGCAACAGGCCAAAGAATACTTATGGGAAAGTATGGAAATGGATGAGGTCTGGTATTGCCACAGCTGTAAACCATGGTTGTATGAGGAATAGAACTTAAAAACAGAAAGTGCCTGTTATATACATGTTATATGTTTTACAGGATAAAGCTCTATTACTGTAGAAAAAAAAAACCTTTTTAAAGTTCGTTGACTTCACTTTGATTATAATTTAACTGTGATAGTATGTATACTTTTAACATATTTTTTATATACATGTATACTGTATATTTTTTGTTTTTGTTCTTTAAAAAAAGTATTTTTATTTTTAATCATTGTTATGTAGATTGTTCTCAAATGTTGAAAAGGTAAAGTGAATTTATATATCTAGATCTAATGCAGTACGTAATATAGTAACATCAAATCACCTTTAATATGCGTTTGTTGTTAATTTTTATTACTCCCTGCCGGGCCTCAACTTTGACGGAGCTATTTATAGCTCATATGACGTAAAAAAAAACAAGCAGTTGTGCGTATTGTGTGACAAAAGGGTAGAACAATATATTTCTGAAATAAAAACATCTTTTCATCGTTTATTGGGCTAAACTATATGTAAAATGAAAATGTCCGGAAAACTGCTATGACATTAAGAAAAAAAGCTAGAAAAGGTACTTCTTTTCTGACCCATATTTCATTAAAAATAAAATTAAAATAGAATAATCGAAAACACGATACTGCTGGGCAGGAACCTACCTATGTTCTATCAAAATTTTATATTTATCCGTCGACCGATATTTATACTGTTTGTAAAAAAGTGTGATTTTTGGCCGGAAACTGCTAGGAAACCAGTATATATGCAAAAACAATCTTAAATTTCGTTTTTTTATGCAAAAGCAATCTTAAATTTCCTTTAAAATTTAAAATCTAGTTTTGTTCACAAGATGTTTACAGATTATCTTCATTATCATGATTATCCCTTGTTTGTGTATATGAATTAAACAGCTAAAAACAAGAGACAGCACTAAAGGAAGATTTAAAGCAAACCTTTGTAGCAGTCAATGAAATTCACTTCAAGTTTTTCCTCACAACTTGTTTTCTCTTTAAGGTTTACACCTTCCTTTTGGCGTCGAGGTCTCATTTTCTGGAAAAAAAAATGGCTTAATGACATCATCAACATCCGGGCACTTCTATCTAGGTACAAGACAACTAAATATGTAACCTATCAAGGGCACAGCATACCCAAATTTTAAGAATTATACAGTATATGTAGATCTATAACTAACATGAAAAAAAGATGTTGAAACCTGAATTGTGTTGCTGTACACAAACTAACAACTTTAATATTTCATGTGATCAAACTTTCATGAATGCTAGCAGTCATTTTTTTAGCAATATTTCTGATTTTTTTAAATCCAAATTGTACAAACACAACAAGATGGACCCAAATCATAGACATTTCTAAACAAATAAAATATATTATACTTAATAAGAATCAGGGTAAGCTCAGCCCTAAAACGTAATCGTCCCTCGTGTCAGCTCGGCCCTATTCCAACTCGGCACGGGTCAACTCGGCCCATAATTATATATTACTGGTAATGATTACTTTTATTAATTTTGATGTTTTCATCATAACTTTCATGGTCTAATATACCTCTACTCAAGGATATTGAAAAGTTTTATTGATGAAAGTACCAATTTGTATGTGAATTTGTAGAGAAAGACAGAATTTACAATTTATACAGATGTTTTGCTACTCCAGATTTTTTTTGTAAATATTATCGTTAAAAAAGCATTAGTCATATTAAGGAACAAACAGTATTAAATACAATAACATTTATTGTCACAAAAATTTAATCTAAAAAGTCTATTTATTGATCAATATTTATCATATATTGTCTTGATATCTCTTCTTAACAAAGATAATTTCAAACAATACGTACAGGTACACTGCCAACTTTTTCACTTTCTGTTTGTAAGTGATCATATTTCTGAAAAACTTTAGGGTAATTTTCTCCTTAATATTATTTTTAACTAAACAATCAATATCCAAATATATGTTTTTAATAGAGGGCCGAGTTGACCTGTGCCGAGTTAATCTGTGCCGAGTTGGTATAGGGCCGAGTTGACCCTTTACCCTTAATAAGCATACCCGATTTGAATAGTGGAACGACTCGTAATGGGAGCGAATCATTTTGTTATTGTAGATGTAGCAAGAATATAAAAAAGCGAAAACAAAAATAAAGCAACAATAAAAATCACACACACCATTTGCTAATCTTTTATAATGTTAACAAATATGGCCTTTATATTTGCAGTTTTTAAGAAAACAGCTACTTTCAAAGCACTATCACGTGTGAATAAAAAAACTTTTTTGCTGTGAACGTCCGAAAAATAGTCTAAGTGGTGAAAAGTACAATAGTCCACTATTGCATCGTAGCCTTTGTATGTTTTTGCTTTCAGAAAGCCTACTGCACCTTCTCCCGACGACATTACAACAATTTAATAATGGTTTTCATTACGCTAAAATGTCGCACTTACCCGGCAATCGTGATTCAAAATGGCGGCTTGTTGGTGAAAATATTAACCAATCAGATCACTCCTAACACAGGTCATTGAAAAATAACGCGGAAAACGTTACTCTATCACTGATTTGATAAAATTTTACACACCTCATCACGTGGTAGTAGTAAATTGTGTATATGGTGTGTATGAAGTCCTATAAGATCAATCAAAGTAAGGACTCCCAAATTTTGAAAGGAACAACAGAAATCGTATTTTCGAAGCAAAATCGAAGAAAACAATCTGAGGACCCGTATGTAAGACCTCTAATTAGAAAAGGTCCTCAAACAGTAGGTCGTTTTTCTCGCACAGGTCCTGTCATTGATATCTGTACAAACACACACACACACACACACATACACACACACACACACACAGATAAATAAATAAATATATATATATATATATATATATATATATATATATATATATATATATATATATATATATATTGATAATATTAGATTGATGAAATCGTTATATTGCTACATTATCTAGCTGAAAACATGTTTAAAAAATGAGAACGACGATCAACAAGGCTTGGCGAAGTGAAGCAGACAAAAGTAAATATTGATTATTCTCTATTTTATGATCAAAATGTCAATGCGTTAAGATGTGTCTTACTTCTGAAACAAACAAGCATCGTTAGGCTAAACGTAAATTGGCGTACTGATGGCTCCAAGAAAATTACTAATTGTGCGTCAAAGACCGGAGTAATTTTTGTACAAACACGTCATTCTACCTACGTGAGACAAATTAATTAGATGGTTTCTGTCGCCATATCAAATATAATAATTGATTACATTGAGTACCCAGAAGATTGCATGTATGAAGTCAATAATCATAGACATCATATGCACGCTTCATTGTGTGCTCCTAAAAACTTTGTGAATGCTCACAAAACAAACATTAGGCTGTTGACTCTCAAGTGACGAAAGTAGCGTATCACTTATTGTTTAAATTATCGTGTGACACGCTGTGGCATATTTAGCAAAGAAAAAAAAAAGAAACAAAACGGATCAGTTTACCTCCATAAAGATTCACTAATAACATGTAACTTCAAAACCTGCATGAAAGATGTGTCATTATCTGAAAACGTTCTTATTATATATATAACTTCGCTAAATTTGCTTTTTAAATAGAGTAATGACGCTTTTTAAACAATTTTTAGTGAAATCATTTGTTCTCAAGCGTAACTTTCGAAGGCGTTCAGTGATTATATTCATATTCGTCATGTAATAATGTTATAATATCAAAACACATGTCACATTTTTACTGCAATCAACTCATTTTTAGAAGAGATGTGTCAAGTTTCAAGAAATGATCTGTGAACTTAACAGGATCCACTGAATAACTTAAAAAAGATTTCAATGACTGTACTTATATTTTGCATGCAAGTATGTATAATGAAACATAACAATATATTACTGTATTATGTAGATTATCGAATATCACAAATATCACATAGAATGAATTTTGAAAGTATACTTCTCTTTAAATGATTAAGTTCAAATTTGTCCTTTCCAATGTAAGGTTCACTGTTTAGAATTGTTTTTTGAAATTAGTTTTGTGCGCACAGTTAATGACCATATGGTAACTTTTTATTAGCAAACTGATACTTGTCGCGATATTACATCTTTCATTTCAGATTAAACCACAATGACAATAAAAACTATTATGAAATACGATTGATTTATGTCTTAGAAATATTTTGTATAGTGTTCATTTAATAAGATTTAATTTCACTTATCTAAAAATACAAAATATGGTAATAAAAAATAAGATTATGAACAAAACATTTTGTTGCAATAATATGAATGTATTAGACATGTAGATATATCTTTACAAAATAACACACTTGTTGAATTGTACTTTCACGAGTTACTAAGTCGCCAGTGGCCACTAGATAGATAAGTCGTGGCCACGAGATACTATGTCGTGGCCACGAGTTACTAAGTCGAAGCCACGATATAGCGAAGTCGTTTCCACGAGATACTATGGCGTGTCCACGAGTTACTAAGTCGTTGCTACGAGATAGCTAAGTCGTGGCCACGAGATACTATGTCGTGGCCACAGGATAGCTAAGTCGTGGCCACGAGATACTATGTCGTGGCCACAGGATAGCTTAGTCGTGGCCACGAGATAAATAACCAATTAGATTACTCTATCTATATGAATTTCCGTTATTAACTTAAAATGTGCACAAGTACAAGGATGCCCCTACTTCACCAGCCTGTAAGAGTGCCATTTATACAAGTTATTGTCAAGTCAATAATTTTACATTTAGCGTCACTGAAACCCTGATTTTTGACCTAATGACCTGGAAATTTATAGATGTCATGTACTGATCAGTTGCAATGACCATTCTGGGTTATATCACTTCTCAATTATTCACCAAAGAAGGAATTTACCTTATAGGCTATCTACTGTCCCTTCAAAATAAAATAAACAAGGACTTATTCCTTCTCATGTTATCGTATAAACAAGGTTAACAGGCCGTAGTACGTACAAACTGACCAATTCGTTCACAAAATTGTCCCAACAAAGAGCTATAGTCAAAATTATTGTCTGATGTATATCGGAAGGTGACTTTCTAAAATGATCCGAAAGATAAGTTCAAAGTGAACAGCTTCAGTATTTTTAAAGATTAATGTTGCATGTTAAAGAAAGTTAAAAAATTCATAATATATATGGTGTATTCTGATTGGTTATTTATCTCGTGGCCACGACTTAGCTATCTCGTGGCCACGACTTAGCTATCTCGTGGCCTCGACTAATATCTCGTTGCCACGATATAAATAAAAAAACACACACATGTCTCTTTTGTGCCACCGTAATTAACTCCTTCTTAAAATAGTAGAAAATAAATTTGTTCTGGAACATTGTTTTACGCTCAATATTCCTGTGTGTTTAATAACTGAGGTGTTCTATGTAGCAATTTATCCGAGAATTGACCAAAACATGAAGGAAACAATATTATTTTACTGTTGATAGATTTGATGAAAAGATTCAGTAAGTTTCAAATTTTGTTTCATTCAGAACCATTAGGCTTAAAACCCATGAGCCATGAGGCATAATAGATATACACAAATCTGGAAACAAAGTGATCCCTCGAAAACATTAATCACAACAAAATTCCCCAAGAATTGCAGACTCGGTTTGATTGAGGCTGTACATGAGGGATAATGATTAAGTACATCCTTCACGCCCCCTAGCACCGTTTTGAGCGGTACTCAATCCTCAACACTTAATATAGTTGGCATCAGTGTTTACAAAGGACCAGAAAAATATAACAACACTAATTTAAAGTGAAGAATGGGGCTGCTTTTTCCAGCTGCCACACGGCACTTGACACCTGCTGTTGTGAAGTATAAAAACCTGTAAACAAAGTGATCCCTCGGAAGCATTATCACAACAAAATTACATAAGAATACAGACTCGGTTTTGATTGAGTCTGTACATGGGAACTTAATATATACCTTAAAATCCCTTCATATAGTACACGAATGAAGTGGGAGAGGATCCAGTTTTCCTTTAGAATCCCAGAAAAACTATAAAATCGTTTCTGTGATGATCAAATATTTGATTTTTTCATTGTTTTCGAAAGGTAAGCGTTTCCCCTTTTTCTTACCGTATGAGTGGTTTTTTCTGCGGGTTCCAAATTCTGCGGTTTTTCCAAATTTTGGCATGTTTATATTTCTGCGGACTTTATTTCTGCGGCACATTCTTTGGGCAAAACGTGATTTAAATTCTGCGACTCGTTAATTATTAAAGTCTAAGTCACATTTCTCAACCTATTTTTTCGCACGTACACATTTGTTTAGCTTCGTCACCGCAAAACAATAAAGTAATTACAAACAAATGTACTGTTTGCTTGCAAACAAATATAATGTGCAACAATAGAAAGGTATGCAGCTTTTGATCATCGTGAAATGACGTGTGAAAAATAATCCTGTAGTATCTTTAATTGTATAATTAAAAAGTTGATAGCAGTTGACCGTAAATCAGATGACAATTATAGTAGACGACGATTATTTAGCAGTATAAGGGTTAAAATGGTTTGAAATAGCTTTATTCTTAAATTAGCATCATTAACAAATAGTACGTCCTTAAAAACACATATTACATAATAAGCCTACAGCAATTTAATACAATTTGAAACCCCCTTACCGTTATAATACGTTATTACTTTATACGAAATAGGTCATAATGCAGGACACATATCGCAGCAGGTGAATGAAAAATTCTGCGGTCTTTATTT